GTATTCTGCCCCTAAGTACTCTTCCCCTTGGTAAGGGAATAAACTATACGAGTTTCACTCAGGTCGTTACTCCTTTAATAAGGAAATTAAATTTTACGAGTTTCACCCAACTCGTTCCCTTTAATAAGGAATTTTTATTGACTATCCCTTTATAGTACAGGGATGTTAATTACCGGATTTATTCAGCTCGGGTCCTTATAGTACATGACATTTATTTACTATCCCTTATAGTACGGGGATATTTGATTACGGGATTCATTCAGCCTGGGTCCTTGTAGTACATGACACTTATTTACTATCTCTTATAGTATAGGGATATTTGATTACGGGATTCATTCAGCCCGGGTCCTTGTAGTACATGATACTTATTTACTATCCCTTATAGTACGGGGATATTGATTACGGGATTCATTCAGCCGGGGTCCTTGTAGTACATATTTACTATCCCTTATAGTACGGGGATATTTGATTACGGAAATCATTCAACCCATCCCTTTAGCAAGGGAATAAACTTTACGAGCTTTACTCAGCTCGTCCCTTTAGTAAGAGAATTAATTACCACATAAGTATAAGTACGTGAAGGGGAGGATCGTTTTTTGACCTGACCTTTGTAGGTTAAGTCCTGATTTCTGATGACCATACTTTTGTCAGTTAGGCCCTAGTCTTGGTCTCTGATGACTAGACTTGGGGTAACCGGGCACTGATCTTGGATGACCGAGCCTTTGTAGACTTTGGGCAATCAATTCTTAGTCTTGGTTGACTAGGCCTTGGTTTTGGATAACCAAGCCTTGATTTATAATAACCAAGGGTTGTACCCTTCCCGTCGTGTAGAGACTAGAAACCCGACTAGCTCGATGTACCAAGGTACGATCAATCTTCTAAACCTTGTCATCATATGTAGATCGGCGATTGATATCGTATGATCCACTATTCTGCCCCTGATGTTGGGACCTTGGGTGATACCCATTCTATAGACGTTTATGCAACGGACGGGGTGTCTGGTGCTGCAACAATTTACAGGTGTCTAAAAATATTGGATTGGGTTAGAAGTAATTACTAAAAATTAACCTGTAATGGATTATCAATCCAAAATTCTGCATAATCTGAAGTCGATAGGCCATTCTTGCAAGGGAAGAGAGGTGACGACTGTCGTCTGGTAGGTGGAGGCTTAGTGTCCAGCGACTGGCTTGATGCCTGGTGGATAGAGGCGTGGTACCCAACGGCTGACAGATGACGGTCTGGTGGTCAGTACCTCGTTGGGTCCAATGATCACCCTTAACTTAGGAACTTGCTTGGGAATACAGACCTCATTGGACATGGGATCTTGAGGGACATTGGACTTCCTTGGACCTGAAGGTCTCGATACATTCTTGGGTGTAGAAGGCCACCCTGATTGTATGAACAGACGGAGTAATGAAACTCCGTTGCTAGAGACATTCTCAGTAGTAGAAGCTTTACTAGTAGGTAGAGACACCCTTACTAAACCTCAGTAGTGAAGGGACCAAGCATCGCTAAATGGAAAACACCATATTGGACTACCTGGGTCGACGTGCCAAATTTTGAAAGGTGGCATCACGTAACCCACTGTTTTGCCCCCAGTATGATAGACGAGTAATCAAGATGTAAAGTCTCGTCCTTATATAAGAACATGGAAACTCGTTGTCAACTGATGACTTTGGGAAGGTTTCCATGATCAGAAACTTTTGTCTTGCCGTCCGAGCCAAGTCGCGTCGGGATTATTATTTCTTAAGAGAACTAATCGTTCCCACAGACGGCGCCAGCTGTTGATGCGTAAATCCTCACGACTCGAAACGACGACGTTTACCTGCAAAACAAAGGGACGTCACTTCGAATGGCACCTGTGGGGTGCCAGCCAAGGACCCTCCGACGATCAAGTTAGTACTTGTAATCGTATCACATAATAACTATGTATCTTTTGTTTAGGAGTTTTTTCTCACACCTTCTTTAACGGCTTAATGCCCTATTTATGGCTGTCGATTGGAATCCAATTAGTTCCGCCGATGTCGATGGTTGATCTTATCTTCCGCTTGTGCGAGATCATAGGAGATTTGTTGCCAGATTTGTCGGGGATATAAATAATCCTTTTGACCTCCTCCAATTATGATAGGATTATTCTTACCCTGTTGAATCACGTCAGATTTCATTATCCTTGATAATGAAATATAATCAATCTTATCGAGGGTAAGGTAGGTTTATATTTTTCCCCATCAATTATTATTATTATTATTATTCGTATTATTTTGTTGTTATGCTTGGAAGGTTTTTTTTTTTTAATGCCCTATTCAATGTTATGTTTTTGTTGTTATAAAGCCTCGTATTTGATTGTCATGTTTGATTAATATATGCATTTTTATAAAACATATTATATTGATTGTAATGAACTCATATTTGATTCACTATTCTTTTTTTTTAGTTGTATGAAATTTATTTAAAACATATATTTACTATTATAAATTAATATTGGGAGGGGATATTCGCACTCCACTTCTCTATACTTACACTACATTTTTAAAGGAAATGACACTTGAATCCCTAATTTTGTAAATAAATAAATATTTTTTTAGAATACCATAATTACCTTTTCAATTATGAAAAAATAATTTGTCTCCCCATTTCTCTCCCTAATTAATGTTTCCATCTTCTTCATTCAATTTAGGCATTGTAAAATTATGTAACCACATAGCTACGGATTAAATATCAATTTAATAAATAAAAAAAAGAAAAAAAAAGGACTTATAATAGCAACCTAAATGACAGAGAAAAAATAAATTGCAGTTAATAAAATGCATATAATATGTAGAAGAAATAGATGACACTCATTGCCATTGAATTGAAGTGGTGTGTCAACATCGCTTCATTTTTCATTTTCCTCTATCATTAGTCTCCTCCACACAAGCACAATGTCTTACTATGTTTTTTGGTCCATAATTTTCACCATTTTGTCATTGAATTTAGCACTAATCCATCATTCTAATAATTTTAGTTGTGTAAATTCTCTTCTCATGGAATTAAGGAGGTTGCTTAGAGTGCTTTAATTAAGTACTCATCAAGCCTTTAGTATCTCAACAAGGCCTTACTTCACCTGGCCCTCACCGAAATCAATAGGAAACAGCTTAGATGGAGGACGATTGAAAGGCTTCAGATGTCCATCTTCAAAGAAAGCTTGGAGACTCTGTTATTACCTTTGGTTGCTAAAAACTGCGCAACTAAAGTTCAAGAATATCCTTTGGAGTTACATATATATTTTTTTCAATTTCCACTTTATATCTTCCTCTTTCCACATAGGTTGCCTTATTTAAAGCTACATGCTGTGGAAATTGAAAAAAATTTGAAGTGAGGAAATATTTAAAAATGTGGATATGTATTCGAGAAAAAAAAAAAAAAAAGAAAAAGAAAATTGCTTTAGACCATATCCAAGGAAATCATATCATCTCCTTCAAAATTTAATTAAAAATAATAAGGGAGGAAAAGAGAGCTTATGTTGTCTGCAAATTGGGTAGAGAATGGTGAGAGAGAGGCTTGTAATGGATTACTGTTGGTTTTAGATTCCTGAAAAAAAAAAAAAAAAAAAAAAAAAATGGTAATCAATTAAGTGTATATATATATATATTTTTAAACAAGCATTAAAGTAAGTAAAGAAGGAAAAAAAGAAAAGTTTATAGTGCAAAGGGTAGTTAGGGTATAACGAAATAAGAGATGATCCATTAATTAGTTTTTGGTTTTTTTTTTTTTTTTTTTTTGTCATTTACTTTAAAGGAAAAAGAAAAATATAATATAAGTGTAAAAAAGTGGAGTGTGAATATCACCTTTCATTAATGTTTTATACGTTTATAATGCGGCGCTATTGCTCTAAGATTTTTTGAAATGTATCGTTATCGCGCTTTCCCTCTTGCTAAAAAGAAAAATCACGCTTTTGCTCCCCCTAAAAAAAAAAATGGTATCACATGTACATTCCACCGCACTTTAATATTCCTTGGCAGTGTTTTGAAGTTTAATAACAAAGATAACATCATTATAATCAATTCTATATCCTATCAAATATGTAATAAGGACATTTTTTTTTTTTTTTTGGGCCGTACTTGACTATCAATGCGATTGTGGATATATATATATTATGATATAAAGTATACTAATCATATATTATAAATTTTATCAAAATAAATGGATGTATGAATTTTTTGTTTAGCCAATTTAAGTCAAGAAAAATTTAAGATTTTTATTTAAAATGATTTGGTTATATTCCCTCTTTTATAAAAAAAATGTTCTCATGTTCGAAAAATTGTGACCAAAAAAAAAAAAAGAAAAAGAAAAAAGAAAAATGAAAAATGAAAAAAAAAAGAAAAAGAAAAAAGAAAAAGTTACAATTACAAACATGGCACTTTTTATGTAAAGGGCAATATTTATATATTTATTACTTTAAATTTGGCAACATCTTGTAATTTTAATTTGGATCTGGTACATCATTTAATGGGGATGGCAATTTGACCCGCCCCACCCCACACCGTTTTTTGCAGTTTTGGAGGACCGTTTTACTTATTTGGGCGGGAATGGTTTGATATAATAAAAACTAGCGTGGGTTTGGTGCGGGGGAGGGGAAAGGTCGCACCGTCCCGTTTAAATAGGCAAATTATTTAAATACCCACATTTCATTAGTATATATATTTCTCATTATATATTAAGTACCTTATATAACAATATTAACGTAAAAAATGAATTTGATTAAAATGAAATTTGCAATGGTGAAGAAAAAGAAGAAGAAGGTAAATCTATTTCAATAATAAATAAATTATGATTTTAAATGGGATGGGTGGGTACCGCAGGGGTAAATATGTTAAACAGTACCGGAAATGGGGTGAAAAATATTCCCGTTTTTGCGGTTTTGAGCCGAAAACGAGGACAAAATTTTTAAACGATTGTGGGTGCGGGAAGGTATACCCGCTCAAACCCGCTCCCGTTGCTATCCCTTCATTTTGTACGAAATATTCAGAATTTCACGTCATTTTGTTCATATGGCTGACGCGGCTGGTCGATCGGAACCGAATCGCGGCGCACGCAACGACGAGAAGCGTCTGAAATACGCCTTTGACGCCGGGTTCTTATCCGGCGCCAATCCTTCCGACACTCCCAACACCGTCGACGCCGATGATGGAGATTCCGCAACCCTAAAGACTTCCGATTCGGAGAGTTCCGACTCGGACTGCGACTCGAAGCAATTGGCCGGTTTGGCGGCGAGTTTCAGAGTCTTCTCCGAGTCCATGTTGAGAATGGAACTCGCCGAGATGGAGATGATCAAGGCCAGAGAGGCTTTGCGTTATGAAGCAGAGAAGCGGCGAGTCGAATCGGAAGCCGAAATGACTCGGATGTTGTTGCAGACTCAGTTGCAGATTGCGTCATTTCTTTCTCGGACGTGCGTAAATCGGAAGAGAAAGCGCTCCGCCGACGATGAAACCTCAACCTCGGAAAGGTAATGCCGTCCAATACTCTTTTCCCACACATATAAATATGTGACTCGGCCGAGTTACTCTTTTGAGTCGATCACTTTACTCATTGCAGGGAAGGAGCTATGTTGCTGAGTTTACTCCAATGCAATTTGATCTGATAACTCCTATTAAGCATGTGAGTACTCTTTCTGAAGCTGTTCTTTTTCTCCGTTTTGTTTTGAATTTAAAAAACAGAAGTGAAATTTACTCAAAATCGTGATATGTACTTATGTTACTATTTAGATGTACACATCAATCATATATATAAGCTCTGCCCTCTGGAACTATATATTATTGTAGAAATTTTTTATTTCCTCGAGCTATTGTAGAATTGAGTTGGAAATTTTAGTCACAAGACACAAAAAAGATTGGGAGGGGGCTTATAACATTAGGTAAGTAGATATAAAATGTTTGTTATGGTTTATTGTATCATCATATGCAAAATGATCTCTTGGTATAGCTGATAATATTTATACTCCCATTCTATGTAGTTTAGAACTCATTTTCCATAGTTTTCCTGATAAGCAGCATATTGATAAATTCGTACTATCATACAACATTCAGTTCAAGTGCCAATTCCATTGAGGTGTCCCATAGCATTTGTGTTCTTCATTTAATCTCCTCTTTAGCCAACTGATGTTTTGGGCAAACTTACAAGCTTTCAATTACTTTAATTCTTTTCAAGTTGGCGTCATACCCTAGACAGCTCTTAAGTCTTAACCCCATACCAGATTAGACTTAACCCCGTACCGATAGCTTCTTCTTTTGGTCCACATAGCATTAGAGATCATAGAACCTCATTTATTCACTTGTTCGGAAGAAGGGGGAAAGTTTGGACGACTTTTGCTTCTTTTGATAATTAGTTCTTAGAAATATGAAAGTTTAATGGAACTTCTATTAGAAACACTACAATTCAATCCTTGAAAGGATATTGAGTTCTATAATTGTTAGATTTAGAGACATTAAGGGTTAGTTTTTCAAAATATTGAGAGTGGTGGTTATCAACCATGAATGGCCTAGGTTGTTTTTTAAGTTAAGTAAACCATATGTTTGATTCCTCAAGCTTATCCAAAATGATCTGTTCCTTAAATGTCTGGATTTGTGACAATTAGATTATCCTTGATGAGCTTTGTAAAGACTGATACAGTTGGTAGTGATAGTGATAGAATATCAATGTCTATTTCGCAATAATTTTTAACTTTTTATTTTTTTAACTTACATACATAAACTGTGTATATTTTGTTGTGTTGGATATGATGGAGGAATAGACAATCAGATTGGAATGTTAAAACCCATCCATTTTCCACTTAGTGTGATAATCATTTTATTTTATTTTTTTATTTTGTGAGTAATGTGACTATCAATTCTTTAGGGTTCTTCTACTAGTTGATTGATAGAAGTTTAGTACACAAGCTTTAGCAAGGACCAAGCTAACAGTTTCTTGGCGGATTTTCAATAATAACCATTAAAGAGATAGCACATGCATGCACATTCTCATTATTTATATGCAGCTCATAGTATTCACTCATATTATTTGCATGAAGGTGAGATATTAAATTAAAGAGATATGACAAGAGAGGTTTGGCAGAAGGCCTGAAGGCTTTGTACGTCAAACTGAAGTTGCACATAACGTCCTCAGCAATCCATTGTGTGTCATGGATTACAATTGGATTTTTGGTACAAGTGTCCGTTTACAATTAGCAAAATCAAAACCACTTAGTAACAATATTGCCGCAAACTCTGAAATTTTCAGTTATGAGGAGCAAAAGATGTTGGTTTACGTCATCCCCTAGTAGACCAAACGGGATCAAGGAGTCACTATCTACTCAAGATGAGTGATTAGGTGTTTGGGAGTAGGGTTGAAGATCCAACAAACTGTCCATAATTCTGCAAGGCGTTGGATATTAATCATGTGGATAACTGTCCATAATTCTGCAAGGCATTGGACATTAGTCATGTGGATAATACTGACAGCTAAACATTGAGTTTATTGTCGGGCAGTGAAAGTGATTGAGATGGAAATATGACAATACTAAAATGGGAAGATGACTGAAATCTGGGATTAGTCTGTAGAAAGTGAACACTCATTACCTGAAAATCATATTATTACACTTTTCCACATATCTGATGGAGTAGAAGAAATTGGATAAACCTCATGCATTGTTCAATAACTAGGAATAAGTAATTTTGTGCAATCTTTTAAATGGTGCTCTATGGTGAGGCTGCATGAGTGGAGAGTCCAGGATACCTTCTGCAGTTAAAACCTCAAACATCCAGATAAAAAGTTTAAAATCACAAGTGGGTTGTCCAAGGAAGTGAAGGTAGTTCAGGAGGATGGTGCTAATCACTGTTATCAAAGGCCCAAGGTGCACTAAATGCGCTAGAGGTCCTTTGGAGCCTTGGCACAAGGCGAGGCGAGCCTCTAAGTGAAGCGAGGTGCACAATTGAAAAATTAAATTACTATTAAAGCATATTCACATTCCATATAAAAAGAGCAAATGTTGTCAAAGGCGCACCTGGGCACACAAAAGGCATAGATGTTGCGCCTGAATGAGCCTAGGCGCGCCTTTAACAACTCTGGTGCTAATAGAGTAAACATTTGCAAGTAGATTTAAGGAAGAATTCTCATGTGAGTTACTGAAACCAAAGAGGATAGTTAACTGCTGGGTGTAGGGAATATAGAGGCCAAAAATAATGATGGAATGTAGAATAGATTTTCGAGTCAGTCCAGCTTCCAAGATTTTGATTGTCAGTCAATAAGGACATGCACAGGTTATGTCCTTATTATGTGCGTTATAGCGAGTGTATTGTGCATTTGTGTCATACATGTATTGTGCAGGTGCTGTTTGCGTATGTGCAGGTGCTGTTTGCGTATGTGAGTTGTGTGCTTGCATGTCAGACTGGTGTAGTGTGAATTGTGTGCTTGGTGTGCGGGTTTGTCATTTGTTTGCGCAATAGTGTGCGCGAAAGTGTTGGTGAATGGGTGAAGTGTGCTGTATGTAAATGTTATTTCTGAAGGATGCACTCCTCCCAGGTCTGTCCTTGAGCTTCTCATGTTTCTCCTGTTCCAATGAACTTGGTAACTGTGTGAGAGATTGTAATAAATTGCATGCTTTTTTATCCCCCAAAAGAGTAAAAGATACTTTTAACTGTCAAAAAAAATGTAAGAATAAAAGAGACTTTTAGCCCTTATTATTGAAGTTGAGAAACTAATTGTATAACACCTGTCAGCCAATGGTGCACCTGACATACTAAACCATTGGTGAGGGCCAACTCCAATACAGTGGGCAGGCATGATTTGTAACCCACTTGACATGCTAAAGTTCTTTTCCTTTTCTTCTATGTACTTGAAACCCTCTTGGATCCAACTTCCTAACAAACAATACTCAGTCACAGCTTCTTGGTCTACAATCATGATTGGTTCCAGTTTAATTGCACCTTTAAGTTTACCCTCATTTTTCATTTACTTTTTTATTTTGGTAGATGCAATTGCCACCCTCACAAATAGAGAAAACATTTGCAAGTAGATTTCAGGAAGAATTTCTCATGTGAGTTACTCAAACCAAAGAGGATGGTTAACCCCTGGGTGTAGGGAATATAGAGGCCAAAAAGAATGATGGAAGGTAGAATAGATTTTCAAGTCAGTCCAGCTTCCAGGATTTTGATTGTCAGTCAATAAGGACATGCACAGGTTGTCCTCTTCTTATGTGAGTGTATTGTGCCATTGCATGTATTGTGCAAGTGTGTATGTGAAGGTTCTGTTAGTGTGTATGTGAGTTGTGTGCTTGCATGTAGTGTAAATTGTGTGCTTGGTGAATGGTGAAGTGTGCTATGCATGTATGTAAATGTTACTGTATTTCTGAAGGCCCAGTTCTGTCCTTGAGCTTCTTATGGATCTCCTGTTCCAGGGAATTGAGATTTAAATCCAAGCTTCTTTATCCCCGAAAAGAGTTAAAAGAGATTTTTACATCTTATTATTGAAGTTGAGAGACTAATTGTACAACACGCAAGGCAATTTTCTTGTAGATGCGGCAATCTCCAAACTCACAAATTTTCTTCTTTTTTATTTTTGTTTTATATATTTTAGGATCACACCGTTTAATCCATGCCTAACAAACTGGTGGTAATGAATTATAATTTAATCCTTCCAAAAAAAAGTAATTACACTCATTTTCTGGGGAAAATATCTGTGAGAATTAGACCACCGACGATTGCTGGAGTGCCAATCTGGAAATGCAATGGTCTAGGACCACTACGTTTTATTGTGAAGACAAGCAATCCCTCGTGGTAATTTTTAAAGGGAAAAAAAAAAAAAAAAAAATCGATCTGCTCGATTGCTTTATCTGTTCCACACCACCGCGTATCTACTCCTTACTATCTCTTGAACAAAAATGACCAACTCCACACATAAATAATCTGACGCTATCCACACTTTGTTTCTACAACAGAATCACCAGTTCATCTATTACCAAACCATCACCTCCATCAACCTAAACTTTTACCCAAACAACTAATACACAATTCCTCGGTGCTGCGGGGCACAATGGACTTGGTGTTAGTTCGGAAAGTGTGTTTAATTTATCTCAACATAAAAGGATTTATTACGCAAATATATATATATATATATATATTTTATTTTATTGTTTCTACAACAGAATCACCAGTTCATCTATTACCAAACTGTCACCTCCATCAACCTAAACTTTTACCCATACAACTAATACACAATTCCTCGGTGCTACGGGGCACAATGGACTTGGTGTTAGTTCAGAAAGTGTGTTTAATTTATCTCAACATAAAAGGATTTATTACGCAAATATATATATTATTTTATTTATTTATTTTCTCTTTTCGATGGTCCTCATCATTGTGTAATGTGGACGATTTAGTACGGCAATTGTTCTGAACTAATCCCAACTGCCATATTTTGATGTGTATCCCAGTATCAAACTTTTGCTGTTATATCACACCGCATGGAGACCAGCCATTCAATATACCAAGCAAGGCCTGAAATTCTAGGCAACAGACAAAAAATTCTAATAAAATAGGCTAACTGAAGAGGGAAAAGGCTACCGGAAGATATTATTTTTTATCCAAATGTTAATAACATTATATAAAAAAATCATGAGTAAATGGAATGGCTTTTTCAATGAGTGAGAGACAATAAAAAGTATTACTAAACTTTCTGAGAGTTAGAAAGCTACCTTCCTCTTTAATTACTTTACTACTACTTTTACCTGAGGTAAATAAATAAACTAGTAGAATTCTGTATTGCACAAAGGAATCGGAAGTAGAAAAAAAAAAAAAAAAAAAAAAAAAAAAATTACAAATAATTAATCAAGAGATTAGATGGCCGTGGGGTTACTAATACACTTTCTTAGTGAAGAGGCTGCGCAGGCTAAACAAATTACCACCACGTCCAACATCACCGGAGACACCACCTGCGCCGATTTGTCCATCACCACTGCCGCCAGCGGGAGCTGCAACAGCCCTAACGGCACTGTTCCCATCACTTCTACAACTCAAATGGTGCCGATACCCAATACACGTCGGAACATTCAAATTCAAAACTCTAGCTTTAGCCCCACCGGATCCGCCGGTTACGGCGGATTTAATCCGGCGGGTTTCGTTTACTTCTCTTCTAACCCCTTTTTCCGCATTTCGGATCATGGGCTCGAAGCTCCTTCCAGCGGAACCTCCTCGCCGGACCTGCCAAACTGGGCTACTCCGGCCCAAGTGGACCCCGCCTCTACTCGGGCTACTCGGCCACTTCCTTGACTTGGACTCGCCCGCTGAGTTGCTCCGAGAACACGGCGCACTACTCACCTTCCGAGTCGCCACCGATCCAGCCGCCATTCTTGGCCTATTACCGCCGTTCCCGGCGGATCTACTCCGCGAGAAAGGCCATATATTTATATTCAGCTCCGCCGAGCTCGCTCCTCCCTTGCCAGCACCAACGCTCTTCTTCTCTTTCTTCTTGTCTTTATTCTTATCATCATTGTCGTTGCTGTGTGAGTCTTTTCTATCGCTCTTCTTAAATATGTCCATCCACCGCTTCGAAGCGGTGAATGCGGTGGTTGATAAGTCGGGCGTTGCAGTTGACAACTCGGGACCCGAACCAATTTCTGACTCGGGCGGTGGGTTTGAGTTGGGGGTTGTTATGGGTGGCTCGGAATGTGAATCAGGTGGGTCGTCAGTGTTGTGGCGGTGGAGGAGGTGGAGGGGGAGGAGGATACCGTCAACGAACAACTCATCAGCGGAGAGGAGATTGGGTTGAGGGAAAGAAGGGTTTCGGACCATCCAGAACTCAAATTCGGGCGAATTTGAATCGCTGCTTCTTCTTCCACTGCTGCAGGGTGTTAGGGTTTGTGGGCTTATGGGGTTTGATTGTTTCAATTTCAATTTTGGGGTCTCCATTGCGAGAGAGAGAGATGAGGATTGTAGAGAGGAGTTGGATGTGTGAAGTTTCTTTGGTTTCCAAGGAGTTTGCTGAGCACAGAGCAGGTGACCCTACTCGTAATAAAGAAAGGAGAGAATGTGAGTAATAAAAAAGTAGAGAGAGAGAGAGAGAGAGAGAGAGTGTTCTAATAAGTTGGGTTGGGTGCATGATGGTCCATAGAAAGAGGAGAAACTTAAGATAAACATAAGCAGTGGCAGTATCTTATCTTGTGATTCTTATCATTTTACCGTCTCAAATAAAAACATCAATGTCATTGTCCAATCGACAAAGATATAGATATACATACAGATTTTAAAATTTTAAAATTGATATTTTACCTGGAACAGGGGTAGATTCCATAATTTTTTTTAAAATTATAAATAAATATGAGAATACATAAAATAATAATGATAATAATAACATAATAATTATTATTTATAAAAATAATATTTTTCTTATTTTATGTGAATGAAATACTTAGGGTTAAATGTTCAATATTTTTGTTTTAAAACTGTATTATATTTTTAAAAAATATATAATTTCAAAATTACTTTTTTGTACAGAAGCAACGCTTATCTTGAAAAAACATTCAAATTTCAGAACACTCTACTTGGTAAGAAACACATTGTGAAGTAATATTTTATTATTGTAAAGATAAATCAATCACCTTAATTGATTCTAGGTAATTTATGGAGGTTGATTGCAGAAATTATTATTCTGCTTATCATGAAAAATCATTCAAATTTCATAACACTCTACATAGTAAGAAACACATTTTGAAGTAATATTTTATTATTGTAAAGATATAAACCAATCACCTTAATTGATTCTAGGCTAATTTATGGAGGTTGATTGCAGAAATTATTATTCTGCTTATCTTGAAAAAACATTCAAATTTCAGAACACTCAACATAGTAAGAAACACATTTTGAAGTAATATTTTATTATTGTAAAGATATAAATCAATCACCTTGATTCTAGGTTGATTTATGAAAGTTGATTGCATAAATTATTTTTCTTTCCTTAGAATTTTCTTACCATCAAGCTATACAATAAGAAAGAATAATATAATATATATCAACTATAAATTAGGAACAGGCCGGCTGGAACTTTAGGTGAGTTAGGCGGTGCTAAGGCTCCAAAATTTTTCATTTCTTTATATGCTATAACTTTTCTTAAAAAAAAATGATTTGCTTTAATTATTACACCTCAACTAATAAAGAGATTTGATGGTAAGTAAAAGATTTTATCATTTTTTACCTTTTTGGGCTTAAAAGATTTCTATCATTTTTGACTTCTTTTTTATAGCCCCCACCAAAATTTCTTTTTATAACATACCTAAAAATTTTATTTTCTTTTAGAATAGTGAAACTCACTAAACACTTTGCATACCAAATACAATTAAGTGGAGGTTAGACACTGCAACTATTCGGTACGATAATTATTTTCCTTTCTTTTATTATTAAACCTTGACCTTATCCAACAAATAAATGTAATAGTGGGCCTAAAATATTTTTATCCTTATATGATTGTATTACATTTTTCCCGATAAATAAGTATGAAATAAAAGAGAAACTCTCTCTCATTCTCATTACATCATATATATATATATATATATATATTAGAATTGGTGGGACTTTTTATATTTTGCTAAATTTCCTACTAACTTTTATCTTCTTCTTCTTCTTCTTTTTTTCTCCTCACATATTTTTCATCATTTTCATTTTAATCTTTTTTTTCTTTTCATATATATATATATAAATATATATATCTTTTCCATATTCCTTACCATTTACAATTTCACTATCTCATTATCTTTTGCGTTGGAAGATTTTGAATAAAAATCAGTTACTATTGTTCTATAACTTAAATTAGGTTATAATTTTATTAATTTTTGATATTATAAGATTATATATTTTGCTTGTGTATACTACAAAGTACAAGCCAATTAACTAATGATGGAACCAAACCAAAGATTGAAAAAATCTTACTGCTAAAGTAAAAATCACGAAACCACTAAAGAACATATTTACTAACACCACTAAAAAACATATTTACTAACACGGATATATCGATAGATTTTATTAAAATGTTACTTTATTTTATTTTATTTTTTTCCGTCTAAAGCTTCAAATTAATTGAGTTTTCACAAATTAAGAAAAAAATAATAATCTCCGCATTGATTTATATCTTTACAACAGTATGTTTAAGGAAAATATCCTTGTTTGGTGTTGGTATGTTTGGATTCTGAGATTGGAACTCGGTATGTGGACGCCCAATAGATTGTTGATGATCATGTGAATGAAAAAATGGCATGGATGCATAGCGCACACAGTGGGTAGTGGGTTATGCTCACTCTCACTTCACAAATGTGTGTGAGTGAGTGATGTCATGTCATGTGGGGTTGAAGGGATCATGGTGCGCGCATTCATGGCGCCTCTCCATTAGATACATACAATACGTGGGCGTTGACATCCACTACTCTATTTTTTTCTTTTTTCTCTTTTTTTCTTTTTTTCCCGATAAATAACATCCACTACTCTTTTTCTTTCTTTTTTCTTTTTTTCTTTTTTTTTTTTTTTTTGTTCTATAAATAACATCCACTACTCTTTTATGTTGGATAAACACCTTATTTTACATATTAGTTTTTTATTTTATTTTGTTTTATAATGAGCGTATCTCACGTAAGATTATACTCCCTAGTACATGTACTACATGAACATGGGGTCCAAAAATACTTCGAAAAAATCCAAACCAAATTTAAATGAACTGACCTAAGCTAAGTTGGATATATTATACATATTTACAAACTAGGTTGAAACTTGTGATGAGCTAAGAAGTTAAAAGTTTAATTCAGTTTGGACATATTGTCTTTCTAATTTATAGGATTTGAAAAATTTACTATTAAAAAATGGAGTGTTTTTTAATATAATTGTGGCATATAAGGACAATTATATATGTCACTTCATCTTACAAAATTGTAGGTAGACTGTTATTTTAAAAAATGGAATGTCAATATTATTTTCGTCCTTTTATTATATGCTATACTTCTATAAAATTGAGCTCATTATTATCCAAACTTGACTTGATCTGTTTATTGTTACATGGATGTAGATGAATGGTTCTAATCATAAATAAATAAATGACAGTTTTTTTTTGTATCATTTGCTGAGTAGCTCCAAATCAAGTAATATTTTTTCATTTTCTAATGGTAGGAATTGAAATAAGGGCTTTAGCCGTCCCTCAACAATTAAACTAAAAATAATTGAGAAGTCCAACAGTACTATACTATATTGTATTGCAAAATTGAGATCTTAGCTCAGAACCATGTAACAACTTTTTAGTTTTTAACAGCAGGAATTGAAATAAGAAAAATTATTATATAATCTGACTAATCAATAATTATTAACACCTCCGCAAAAAAGTTAAGTACTTATGGTTGGGGACAAACGGTAATTTCTCCCGAAAAGTGGCTTTTGGCCGGAATTAAAAAAAAAAATAGTTGGAAAGTCCACCAATACTAAATTGACACCTAATTGAGAATGGACCTCACGTGGGCCAAAAGAAGCTATGAATAATCATCAACTAACCCTTGATATACTGCCGAATCATATGGTTGGAACCTTGTGAAGATATATATATATATATATATATATATATATATATATATCTATGTATACATGTAGGTATGTATAGAGTATAGAATGTCCCAAATGACAGGTTTGAAGTGGAACCCAGTGATTGAGACGGTGATGGATAAGTGGTGGTGAGAAGGGAATTAGTAACAAGAGAGAGAGAGGATTTTGGTTAATGGCGTTTGTTTGTTGGGAAAGTGAGAAATGATATGCAGGCAAAAACAGCGTTATATCATCAATGCCTTTGGGTCCCCACTCTCAAACACCCCCCCTTCTATGATAGCAACTGCCCACGCGCCATAATTGGCTGTTGTAGAAACCCATGTGAATGCTTGCTGTTGGCTCATGAATCATGATTCATTAGCTACCTCACTCATTTTTTAGTAGTTACTTCAGTTTATAATCATATTATCGTCGCGTACTCAAGATTCTGAATTCCAATTAGTCCAAGGAAAATGATTAATCGAAAAATGATTTGTTTAATTGAAAAGTTTTGACCTATGTAAAATGTAAGAAAATAAGATCTTTCACTTTCTTGTATAATACAAAAATAAGTAATCAAAACTATTCAGTTAGGTAATTCACTATAAAACTTCGATCTAAGTATCACTGTTCTTCCTTGAACATTAATTCTAAAAGAATTATTAAATGATCATCCTATTATAAACTATCATATAACTAAATGTATCAATTTATAATTGATTATGTAATCGCTTATAATTGGACAAGATCACATGATCCCAATCAACTAACATGAGTATTTGATAATTTTTGCGTGCTCATGTACATTTTTACCGAGATAAGAGTGAGTGTGTATATATATATTTGGCCTAACAATGCGGTAGAAAGTGCTTAAACAATCCGAACTCAAAATCTTATCCATAACAAGGGTCTGTCATGATGGGTGTGAGTGGTTTGAAGATTAAATTATCACTTTCATACTTGGCATTCTAAACACTTTATAAAATCAATTGTGAAGAAAATATTCCATAGCAAAATTCAACAACCTACACAGGCAGCTGGGATAAATAAAGAAGAACACAGCTGTGAAGTGTGAAGCTGAAAGTGGTAATGTCAAAGTATAGGTATTGGGGCTCCAATGTATTGGTCCAATGTATAAGAAATAAATGGGATGGTAGGTAGTTACGGTTCTCAAACATCATGTGTACTGTGCTATAGCCTTTTGTCATTAAAAACAAATAGTACTAGTAGTACTGTAATGACTTTTGCAGGGCAGGCAGTTTCTGCAACCACCAGAAGAGTATTGCATATAGCTTTTAATGTAAGAAAATAATATAATATTATACTAGCACTTCAAGAAACTAGCTTGTTTCATTCTTGAACCATATTGTAGTTAAGAAATCAACAACACATCTCATCTCTCTCCTTTTTTTTTCTTTTTTTTTAGTGGATTGGTGCTACGTAGTTGAAGACATGGTTACTTCTCAATTGTTAAATCATACCAACCAACCACAAGGATCGTCTGCAGTTCAGCTCATGTGTGAAGATTATGGACCCTCAGTTATAGTATGGTACAACGGACCGG